TATGTAGTCTAAATCAGCTGTTTGGGTGTTTTGTGTGCCATTGCACACATGGCGTCAAATTCCTGTACTTCCGCAAAATTTCACTTAACCACCGTTTCCCCGTTATGAAACTCGTCCTACCACTCTTTCCTCTTTTTTTTCGGCCGTTTGTTTTCCTTTTTCTTGCTGTTTTTAGCGTTTTAGGCTTTACCATTGTCCTAGTATAGGCCTTACCTACCACTATCTCTGAAATACCGGATACCCCCAAAATTGTCCTGACCTGTGCCTTTAAGCGAATTTATAGAGTAGTCAAGCCTTTTTGAGTGTCTTGCATATTCTCTTTTTCACTGTGATTCATTTTTCAGAGAGTCTTCTATGAAACGGTGCGACTATGTTTTGAGAAGCTCGGAGATGTGTTCATAACATTGGTATCCAGCTCTGTAAGTCCATATTCATTTGTAAAACGGATTACTTTGATAGAAAGTCTCTGAAATGTGGTGTGCTCATAGAACAGTTTGGTTACTAATCAAACCAGCCGAATTGCCAATCTTAATGTCCACAATTCACGTACACTGTGTCCACTATAATTTTGACATAGGGCTGTAAAGAAGGAGTTGTATCATAAGCAGAGCAATTCAAGAAGGTGAGGGCGGGATGGTGTAGTGGCAAGTGGCGTACTAGCGCATACGTATAGTGCAGGTTCGAATCCGGCTCGTTATTCGGCTAACCAACCAAGCCTTCCATCCATTCAGGGTGGTTTGTACATCGGTTGGTCACCGCAAGTCATTGTTTAAGCCATATACGCGTTCAGTACGCTGCTACGATTCCGAATGGAAGTCGAATGTGGGGGGGCACCCTCATATGGAATTGAATAACTCCCAGAGCCTTCATCTTTTTTTCATCGAGAATCTGCTATGAAGTCATACCGTGCATGCACACTGAAGCAGCAAGGACACAGCGCCAACGCGAAAAAGGGATATTTAATTCAGCGGCTCTGCGATTCTACGCCTGTTATCAGCCCTTGTCGGTTGTTATCAGTTCCTATCAACGGGAAACTGCGATTCTTCGGAGCCCAACTTAAACCACCTAAATCTCAAGACTCCAGTGTTAATTTAAAAGACGCAGCTGTTCTAGTGGATCTTGCCTTGTGAGACTCCTCGTCAACCACACAAGTTGTTGCTACTCCATTGCCAACCATTGCTGTACCAGTCCTCCCGCCTGTGTAGCTTCAAAGTTCGAACGATTTAGGTTAAGGTGAAGAGTATGAAAGGCAGATCAAGCTCACACACTGACACATCCTGATACACACACCTACGCATAAGCTCCTCAAGCATACACGCCGGCAAAGATACACACACCGACATCCAGATACACCGACACACACTGACGTACACACGCTAACACTCTCATTTCCAGGCGCACACACATACATACCCATTAATCAGCGATTTATATGTTCTGAGATATTGAGCCAGATCACTAATTGTAAGTAAATAAATAGTAAGTACAAAGTAAAAAATGGCACTTATTGGAGTTTAGTTGTGGTCACATTGTCTTTGAGCACCGATTTTCGTTGCAGGAGCAAACGGAAGCAGATGGTCACACTTCAGAAGATGGGAAACATTTGAAACTAAAACGTATCAAGAAGTACCAGTCTCCATTGAAGCAGTATCTTTCTAGTATTCTAAAGGTAAAATTTGATTTGTAACGATGTTTTCCACCAAATAGCTGTGGAACCTGATCGAGATCAACATCCGATCTGACTTAATTGGTTTATTATAAGTAAAACCTTTACGGTTCTTTGTTTTAAAATTTTGACTAGAGATAGGATTGCTGTCAACCTTATGGTTACAGTTTTCTTCGGAATCCGTGGTTATAACTAGTGGCGCACTTCATTTCGCTGAATCAGCGAGAAGCGAGCCCGCTGTACTACATTGGCTCGCTGGAAAGGAGAATGAAGACAATACATTTGATTGTAGGGAGCTAAAATTTCAGATTTCTTATACTCCCATCACGCTCAAAATTCTGTGGACTATCGAATCCGGTAAAAAAAATAAATAAATCCAGTAAAGAGACATTTTACTACTCGATCTCTGTAGGGCATGAATCTGAGTATACTCGCTGTTGGGTTAATGATGAACTCCTCGCTCTCGGCAACATGATGCAAATCGCTCATCGACAAATAGTAATTGCTTCTTGTTTGATGAAATTTTTTGAGATTTTAGCTTCACTGCAAATTTGGATCAGAGGTTGCCTACTAATAGTGGGAGACTTCCGAATGAGTCTATACTCTGTCCTGCACTAACGATCCTATAAGTTACTGATCTTCTCCGAGTCCATATGAACGATTTTGAACCAAGAGTTTCGAGATCCTGATTCTGAAGGGAACGAGTTTCTTGAATTCTTTGAAGCTCATTGTGGTATCTTTAGAGTTCGTAAAACTGTAAAGGAGATGTAATGTCAGAGCGGTTTGTAGAAAATAAGTTTTCTCGAGGCGTACGCTGAAAATCCCACTCAATCTATGAATGTTAACATGCTCGCTCTGTAACCCCCTAAGCATATTCCTTTTTCAGTTTGCCAACGAGGTTCAATCTCCCGAAGTAATTATTTCGACGCTCAAAGCGATTCGCCGAGTTGTTGATCTTTTCGCTCATTTCAAGAAGTTAACAAAGAGTCTTTTCAAGGTTTGCTTAATATATTGCCTAAACGGTTTTTGTGGTTCCCACTTCATGCGTTTTGAGCTATGAATTCTAGGCACACATTTTTGTAAAATTTTCGAGGTGACCGTTATCTCGCAGACGATAATTTTGCCACGTATCTTTCCGCTTTTTAATAATTTAGTGTTCTAGGTTCTGGTTCGAATTTGGTCTCGGAAGACTTTGCAATGCCGTGTAGCAGCTTACGTTTGCATGATGCAGCTTGTGAAATCTCACCCGGAACATTTTGTTAGTCTATACAAGGTGAATCTGTGCAATCATTTCGAGTTGAAATTTCACTTCGACTTTAATTCCTTGACTTACAGAACTGTTATCTTGGTTTTGTCACAAATTCACGTGAAGTTACTGCTGAAACCTGGCCTCTTCTGCATTTTATGCACAGGTGAATTTCTGCATTTGAATTAAGTCGAAAGATTCACTCGCCAAGAACCGTACAACCAGTCCATTCTCTGGATTTCAAGACAATTTTTATGTGGCAACTGTATTTGAATGCTGGCTAAATCTTCCACATACGAAGACGCTCAAACGGTAACAGTATCTACTTGAACCAGTTCTATGTGGACCACGTGTTAGCGTTGAATTTTGGACAACTGTGTGTCGGCCTTCCCCTAATACGTACTATTTGTAGGCCGCTTTCTGTAGATTGTTGTTGGAACTAGCAATATCAAGCCACGTTCTTCTTTTCCTTCCTTTCCTTTCCTTGCGTTGATTCCGCGCCATGGTAAGGTCCGCTTCACTTGTTATTGCAAGGTCCCCTACACTTGTTAGTCGCAATTTTCTACTGTCTACAGCATTTCCTTCCTCACCTTGATTTCGGCGAGATCCTCCTTGATTACGTTCCGCCACCTCTTTTTCGAGCCCAGCATGATAGCTTTCCATGAGCTTCTAACTTCTAACTCCACTGCTTCTCTCATGAGGTGATCCCGTGACCTTCCCAGTCTTCTTCCCAGTGTTCATCATCGCAGATGTTGCTTCCTCATATCGGACAGAGGCTGTTTGCATTATTCTCCTGATAAGTTCTATCTTATCTGATCCAAAGGGGTCTAATCGTCGGCCTGTCTCAGTATGTCCAAATCTGATGACTAGAGTTTCCTTTTATAATTTTTGCCTACAAGCCAGCGCTCACTACCGTAGAGCATCGCGTGTCCAACTTCTGTCCTATATACTTCCCGTGAGCCTTCTGAAGCACCCCTGATTGCAAAGGTTAGCGCTTTACACTCTCTCTGTTTCATTTATAGCATGTTTAGTCCATTCGAGCTTTCTTAGCCTGGTTCACGCTACCGTCGGTACTTAGATCACTTCTCTTGGACTCTCGTGACGTCTACTGCTTTTATTATGCTGTGATAGGTGCTTGTTTCCGTCTTGGACCTACCATACATTTCTTTGACAGGGAGATAAGGGGATTGGGAGCCTCCGTTCTTATAAACTTCCCAAAGGACTTCTCGCGGGAAGCGGTCGGAAGCCCTATTCAGATCGAGGAAAGCTAGGTTGTAGGATCTCCGGTCTCCATAACTTGTCTAGGTATAAAGATGGCCCCTTCAGCCTTCATCTCCCCATTGCTCGACAAACCTCTTCTTCTGCCCAGAGTGCGATGGGGTCAGCCGTCACCTCTTTCTAAAGGCTGCTCTCACTCCGGAAGCCAAAGTTTGGGAGGCTTTCCACTTACGCGTGGCCTCACTAAGTTCTTTCAGGACCGCACCGTCGCTGTAGTTCATTGCCTTCATATCTCACGTCTTAAATAGCTTGCTGCCGAGTTTTGGTCACCCAAAAAGCGAACTTTTCTCCGCCTTGACCATCAAGGTTTTCGTACGAGGCGCCACTTCCGTATACTGCCGTTCGCTTCGCTACTGCCGTTTGGCGAGCCTCTTGCGACGACTGTAGGCAGTCAGATTTTCTGAAGTTCGCATCTTTAACCAGCGCTTGCAGGCGGCTTCCCTCTGCCTCACAACTCACTAGGCTTCATCGTCCCAGAACCACCTTTCTTCTTTTCTCAGAAATCACCTCGAGCCATTTTCTCACTTCGCCGAGTTCATTTATCGAAGCCGTGTGAGGCTTGTAGGGTAGCAATAATGATAAAGTTCATGATGGCATTGAGAAGAAGCTTCACAGTTCCGTTTGAAGAATCTTCCCGTCACTTGTGAAAGCGAATGTTAGTACACAATTTCGAGTTTTTTATTTCAGTACATATCCCAGGCGAAATAGGCTTGCGATCCAGTATCCTTGCCTTTTGCTTGGTAATCGGATTTGGAAGAGATGGCATTTTTTTTCGCTGCTTAAGGAATCAATATAAAAATTAAAATAGGTGAACTTCTGGATTCGGCCCAGATGCATAGTCCGAAAAACAAGTAAATATTGCTCTTGGTAGCTTTTTAGCGGTTATACCTGCTACACTCCATGACATCACTGAACTCTCACTTCATCACGCCCAGAAGCGTTCATACGTTGAGGTTGATACTTCATTATTATGAAGGTCATCCTAACATCAACTCGTTTATGTAGATATAAGCGATCCTCTACTTGCTGTAAAATTTCTTTTCAGAACGTTCGCTGAATTGACCGTGCTGCATCCAAACTTGGCATATCCATATGCGTTCGTGTACATCAGACAGATTGCCATCCACCTGAGGAATGCAATCATTTCGAAAAAGCGAAAGGTGAGTCTCACATACCTAGCAGGGAGCAGAGCTCCACCTTCCAATCATTAATTTTTTCATATGATGACTTTGAAGGATATGGTCCAAGCAGTATACAACTGGCAAATGATGCAATGTTTGTACCTGTGGGTCCGAGTTGTATCGAAGGCCCATGCTGTTCACGACTGCGAAGCAATTTGCGAACTCGCATATCCTCTCACGCAGTTGATTTACGGAGTGCTGAAGTGAGGAGAATGCTGAACGATTCCGTCAGGCTGATTTTGAGCTTCCTTGGCACGGATTCGAAGTATTTATCAGAATTTCTCGATATTCAGGCTGTATCACTCTCTTCGACACATTCCATTACGACTGCACTGCATTTCTCTACTTATCCAACTGCAAGCGAATTGTGGGACTTACGTGCCAACACTGACATTAGCCACAGAGGTAGTCTGTCAGCCCACGTCAACCCTTATCCCTACTCCTTTTTGAGTCTCATTTCAGCTTCTGGACGACGCTGAACATATTCTAGCCAAGAAACCGAAATCGCTCAAAGATGCGAAAGTAGTCGATATGGAGTGTACGCTGAAGGTGTGTGTATGTGTATATTACTGCATCGTTCATGCAGTGATCCCATTTCACTCTAAAAACTTGAAGTTGTTATCCGCACAAGCAAATCTCGGCTTGTGGGGGGCGTGCGATTCACGCGTGACCCCATTAGAGCTCTTCACGCGTGCAGCATCGTTTCAGTACCTTTCTGTTGAGATGGACCAAATAAATTTGCTGTAGTCCACGGCTTCATCATGAATTAGAGCAAACCTCTTCACTATGACGATAAAGGCCCTTCTATGTTAAGAATTCTGTCCATAGGTCAACAATTTACTTGTCAAACGTTCAAAATACAATAACTTCAAATTTCTTGATCCTAGAAAACGCAATCCTTCTGTAAACGTGCATAGTTGGTCATTTCTTTGCTTATGTTACTTATACGTTCTTAAGTCTCCCATTATGATGGTAGGCATGATGTTTTAGCACGTTTTGCCCGATGGCCTCATTATATTGGCGCGTGAATCGCCCCACACCCGTCTGGGAGAACGTCCGTTGCGCGCGTACGTCGAAAGTGGGTCACCCCGCCCACTTCGCTCGCGGCGCACCCCACTGAGTCCCAAGATGACATTACGATACCACCGGGTCCGGTAACTTCTCCCCTATCACGGCGTCGCACACGCCGCACCCGCCGCCTATCGCAGGATTGCGATGAAAGATTGGAGCGCGCAATTTGTGAGGTAGGGAGTCCTTTAATCATTTGAATTGGCTGGTCGCTCCCTTCAATTTCAATGCGGTATTGATCGTCGTCTATATAAGAGGAGTCATTTTAATTAATCAAGTCTAATAAACATGAAAACTAAAAAGAAACAGAAGAAAAAACGATAAAATCCAATGAAAAAGCAAGCCAGTCAAGGAAAAATATCGCGTCCTATCGATTTTCGGGAGGCGGGGTGAGTACGGTAATTGCAGTGACATTCGCCGCATGCCGCAAGGGAGAATGCCGCGATAGGGGA